CAGGGACTTTGGGGTCTCTCATTCACTGTGGGGCTGTAAGTCTCCCAGATTTACATGACTGCTCTGCAGCAGGCATGAGACAGGGTTCCACTCCCAAGCAATTGGGCACAAGACGGAATCTTTCTGTGTTAGCAACAAACGGGTTAATGCTTGCAAGAAAAACCAAGTGAGTGATTTGGTGAAATGAAGATTAAAACATCTCCGTGGAAGGTGAGGAGCCAGCCCCAGCCTGTGCTGTCCCATTTACCCACTAATCGGCCCAATTATCTAAGGAATAAATCATAACAGAAAACACTTACAGAGCCAGAGTCGCACACTGAATAAAGGAGAGAACTGTTGGGTTGGTTTTTGTTTAGTATAATTGATATAATTACTGACAACTCTGTGCCAAGAACTTCAGCTTTTCTCCTTCCAGAAGAGAATAGAGAGTTGTCTGAAAGCCATAGCAATTAGCAATCCCCCACATGCACAGCTTTTATTAGAAAGAACATAGCTATTCCAGAAAGAACCAGCAACTCCATGAAGAGTAACTAAACAGTTTGAAGACCTCCTGGTATCAGGAGCATAACCATCACTTAGTGTGTTCTTTATCCATGTGCTGATGTTGCAAAGGGATATAAAGAATCCTACCCATGGTGCTGCATATAAAATGCCTTTAATCCGACACTTTCGTGTCCCTGATTTTAACCTCAGTAGCTCCAAATAGGAGTACTGTCTGGGGTACTATGTTCCAACTAGGCCACTGTTGCTGGCTTTCTTCAGACCCTTGTCCAGCTCATTGCAACAGCAGAAAGTCTCTTTTACTCCATCACGGAATCTGTCAGAGGTCTGATTTTCACATTCTAAAGTAGATTAAGCCAATGTTTATGTGACTGGGGCTTAACAAGCATTTTCCCTTCCCTCCCTAAGCACACTGCTTTCCAGATACTGTTTCACACGGGCAGCAGACGCAACATTCACAACATGCCTAGTTTCCACCAGCCACCCACCATGAAGCTGAAGAGATAGAAGAGTTGTGGTTTATTTTAGCTGTATGGAAGTGACCTCTTGTTGACAGGAGGACACAGGTACACAGAGCACAGATAGACCTGCTACAGCCTGGCTCTAGTGTTCTTGCATGTTCAAAGCTTCTCTCCATCTGGGACCACTTACAGCTTCCTTAGACAAATCACAATTGTTGCCCATGCACTAAATGCACAGATCCACAAAGGTGTGTAGGTATCTGAGCAGCAGATAGGGAGGTCGAGCACAGTAATCCCACAGAAGAGGCTGCCACAACCCTTTGTTCCTGGGTCCAACCAGTGACAAGGTTGGGCATGTAGCCCCAGTAGACCCCACACCAACACACATACACAGCATACATATATTTGTACATATTTGCACTTCACTCTTCCAAGTGTCTCAGCTCAAGACACACACACATAAAATGTGTCTTGGTCGACAACCAGACCCCACAGGTTCCCTGACAATCTGCCAAAACTCCCCTGGTCTCCCCAGCAGCCAACTGCCTCCATGGTCTCCCCCTCAGGGACATATGCACATATCTGGCTCCCAGTTCACCTCTCCTATTTGCCGGCTAGTCCAGCTTCATGTTGGCTAGCAATCGCCCACCCGCAGACCCTCGCACACTCTGGTGGCTCCCACCACATCACATGGGGCCTTTGTCCAACGCTCTGATGCCAGTTGCTGGCATTCAGACCTCCATACACACATGCACACAGAATAGAGATTTCCTCACTCAGGAAAACAGCTAGAAAGGAATTTAATAAGACAATAGGGAAGATTGCAATGATCAGGGACAGAATATGGCAAGACAAGCATACTGAACAGCCCTGTTTTCACAATTTACCCATCCTACACCCCTTTTAATGCCCATATCCCTCTATTTTCCCCTTTGTTCCTCTCCAACTCACCTGGATTCCTCACTTCCTGCACTTTTGGTTCCTCCCTTAAACATCCCATAATAATAAATCCCATATGCTCTTCTCCTGCATTCCACAACGTCCCCAGAACTCGAGGCAGTAACCCCTCCTCTGTCCAAAAGCTGTTTTGGAAGGGCTAATTTGCCTAATCTTGCTGGGTCTCCTACCTAGTCCATGAGGAGTCCATGCTCTCCTGGAGGAGCCTTGAGAGGAGCCCAGGGCATCCTCCACGTAGGAAATTTTTGTATAGTCTTGCTTAAGTCTCTGCGTTCCGTGTGCTCATGGTGATGAACCCTTGGTGGGTTGACATTCTCCTGTAAATGGCCTGGGAGAAGCTGGAGCAGGACACACCGCCGGTTCCCCCACCTGATATTGCTTCTCTGTGCTTCTTTGTGATCTTGGAAATGAGCTTTTTACCTCATAACCTGAGTACTTCCAAAAAATCTCAGGTAGAAAAATCTGTTTCTCATCCTACCTCATCGACACTTCTGCAATAGCTAAAGGACCATGAATGTAAGAAGTGCCTTATCTGAGCACACGCTAAATGGCTGGGTAGAAAATTCAGCTGCATTAGGTGCATCTGGGGCACCATGACAGAGAAGACAAATTTCCCTGTATTGGTGTCTATGGCTTTGCTTGGAAGATCATGACTGAAGTGAGACATGGAACAAATAGTGCAAGGGCCATCCCCCTTCCTTCCTGTACACACTCTTTGCCATGAACAACTCAGCCTTCTATCCCAGCCCTTGGTCCTGTTTTAGCATCTCTATTTCTGAAAGCTTAATTTAATTTTGAAAAATGATAACTATTCTCAGTGGATATTTTCATTGTCTGTTCTTTAATTAAACTTAAAACAGAACATTCATCTTAAAGCTATTTTCAGTAAATGCATAGAGATTTGGATGAAATCATGTCTCTGTGAAAAGTAAGCAGTATATTTTTTTTCTGAATAACAAATAACGATGCCAAGAACTAACAAAACTCTTATGCTGAAGAAGGAATGGAAAAATAAAGCCAATATTAATGTTTCCCACACAAGTTTTAATTTTGATCAAAAAGTTCTTGTTTGTCTGAAAACAGCTTGATGAAACTTTTCAGTCAGGCCTTTCAGCCTTCCCCTGAGCTGCTGCAGGATTTGCTTCTCTGTTCTTTCTTTCTTTAGTTTTGCTTTCTCAAGAGGATGCATGATATTGTGCACTGACCTGTCTTTAGTCTTGGTGACAGGAGATAAATAGAGGTAGAACTTGGAAGATGGCCATCTTCTTCAAGACAAAAACAAACATGATCTTGTGTTAACCTTCTAGACAAAGATGCAAATGCCATGACAATGATACTGGCCCTTGGATGCGATTCATTCCTATTATCCACCAAAGAACCATGAAACCTAACTGAAAAACCTTGTTGAGGAGCCTTGTGATAGGAAATGCTATTTCACAGCAATGCAAATAGATTGTAACATGGAGAAAATCATTAATTTGGCAAAACGAGAGGACTGGCATAGTTACTTGATTCACTTTGGAACTGTCATTTCAGTTAGCTGAGGTGGTTATGCTAAGACATTGCATACACATGTGCACTGCTGGTTGTCCAAGGGAGGTTTAAGGTCCTGAGAATTTCACCTAACAAACACCCCCCTCACCCCATTGCACAGACTGACACTACAGCCCGTACCTGGGATGTCCCCTCATCCTGGGCACTGACTGTGCAGCTCTTGGTTTCCTGCTACAGATCTGAAGTTCATCCAGAGTGCTGATCTGGGTGCCCTTTTGGACAGCTATTGACAGTGGATGGGGGAACCGTCTGAGTGTTCATGTTTTGTCAAAAATATTAATTTCTATAGTAAAAAATATTAATTTCTATACCATATTATCTCTGAGATCTTCCAACAGTTTTGCTAACTTCATTTTCTAATGCTTTCATTAGAGAAAAAGTGCTTTCTCTTTGCTGTTTGAATTCAGATAACTTTCTTTTAGGCTGTTTGGAAAAAAAGCGCTGTTGGTCATGAACTGAAATCAGAATTTTCTTTCTCCTGGGTATAATCGGTTCCTGGTTCTTCTTCCAAATTTGAAGTGTTTTCCTCTAATATTTTGATTTAAAAATCCATAGGCAACACATTAGATCCTGCCCGCCACTGTTGAAACAAGTGTTTTTTTAAAGAGATGATTCCCAAAAACAGTTTTTGAACTTTTTTGTTTCATAATAAGTTTGATAATTTTTGGCTTCTCTTCTTGATTTGGAACAAAAACACATCTTGAAATATAAAGTTTCCAACTAAATTAAATTCTGTTTTTCAAATGCCTTAAGGTTTCCGTGATGATTAAAAAAAAAAAAAAGCAATTGGTAATTCAAGGAGAAAGAAAGGTCTGAACATGTGTGATACAGAAAGTGCAGGCTTAATTCCTGTGTTTTGACATATGGTCTGACTTGCTCTCCGTGTTTCCTGCACCTCATAATTTTATAGGAAAATCTGAGTATTCAGATTTAGAGCAGGACCCCAAGCAGGGCTACCATAGATCTCGCATTTCCAGGCAAATCCTTTTCCTCTGGAATGGCAGTTTGTCCGTGCCAGCTGGGTCTCTTGCACATCCTTCAGCAGGTCTGAGTGGACTGTGGGGTCCCAAGGACAGGGCTGTGCTCAGTACCTGCCGGATACGGTTCAGGCAGATCCATGGCAAGCACAGCCCCAGGAAACATAGCTTTGATCCTCATTTTTAAATGTGGCTTGCAGTATCTTCAAGCCACAGCTGGCTAGTGGCCATTTGGTGGTACTCATGAAAGGAGGATGGGACTTAGCCCAGACACTTTATTTGAAGAGCTGTCATTTCTGACAACAATAAATGGGCCATGGAGAAAGGACCATCCTTGGTGGTGCTTTGGCAGGTCAAACATCTTCTGTGAGCACCAGGCCTTGCACTGAAACTTGCTTATACTAATCACTATTTACAGACTACCCCAATCTCCCTGGCCATCAGTCCATGCCACCTTGGCACCAAAATCCCTTTACATTAACACTGTGGGCACAGAATAAATGTTAGATCAGTCTCTCACTTATCCCCACCCTGTTTCTTTCCCACTCAGACGCCTGGACGCAAACCTTATCTCTGTGGTGCCCGAGAAGAGCTTTGAGGGGCTGCTTTCCTTGCGTCACCTGTGGCTGGACGATAATGCCCTGACGGAGATCCCTGTCCAAGCTCTGAACCACCTGCCAGCGCTGCAGGCCATGACCCTGGCTCTCAACCAGATCTGGCACATTCCCGATTACGCCTTCCAGAACCTCAGCAGCCTCGTGGTGCTGTAAGCCTCCTCCACTTGTTATTCCGTCGCAGCCGCGGCATCTTCCTGCTGGGACAATGTGCTGACCAGGTCACAGAATCATCATAGAATCATAGAATCCTTTAGGTTGGAAGGGACCTCTAGAGCTCATCTAGTCCACCCCCCTGCACACGCAGGGTCACCTAGAGCACGTGGCACAGGACTGCGTCCAAGCGGGTTTGAAGATCTCCAGAGAAGGAGACTCCACAACCTCTCTGGGCAGCCTGTTCCAGGGCTCTGTCACCCTCACTGTTAAGAAATTTTTCCTTAAGTTTCTGTGGAACTTTTGGTGCTTCAGTTTGTGGCCATTACCTCTAGTTCTGTCGGTGGCCACCAGTGAAAAGAGGCCAGCACCATCCTCCTCACTGCCTCCCTTGAGGTACTTCTAGACACTGCTCAGGTCCCCTCTCAGCCTTCTCTTCTCCAGCTGAACAGGCCCAGCTCCCTCAGCCTCTCCTCATAGGGCAGATGTTCCAGGCCCCTGATCATCCTCGTAGCCCTGCGCTGGACTCTCTCCAGAAGACGTGTCCTCTTCTCATGAGGAACACAGGGAAAGCCCCACTGCTTGAACACAAGAAACAGCTTTTTGCTCCAGGGGTGGCAGCCTGAGGTTTTATTCAATAGATTCCCTGTCATTTCATATGAAATGCTAAAATTCTCTTTCGCATTTCTTCATGCTTTGCCCATTTTTCACTCAATAGTAAAAAGCTCCCCAACTTTTCTCAAAAATACTTTTCTTAAGAAAGTCAGTATCTGAAAATGAAATTCATATTTTTTCCCTACTAAATTGAAGCAACAAAAATTTGCTATTTCCTCTCTGCTTCCTATGTTAAAACTGCAGGAATTTCTATATAAAAGAAAAACATGCAACCATTTTTATTCAAGTCAAAAAGCAACATTCGTTTCTTGAAAAAAAAATGAGCGGGAGATTTTTGGACCCACTTTGATTTTGAACAAAAGGTCTCATCTCAACACCTTGTACATGCCTGTACTTATGTACATGTGCTTACGTACATGACTATATTATGTATTCTGATTGACTATGAATACTTTGCTGCATGTTGTTGTACAGTTTGCATTATGAACTTTACTGACTGCATGCAGAGCAGTGGAGACACTGCTGCCCTTGAAGCTCACCTGGTCCAGATGGGGCACATTTACATTTTTTACCATGCAGTGTATCCTTTCCATTAACAGACGCTTGCATCTTATCTGTCTTTTATGTTGCAGTTTACATGTACAAATTACCTAGTCACTATTTTTATGGTACTGATAAATAAGTCCAAGTGTGATCGCCAAGAGCTCCAGAAATCCTGTATCGACACAAAATGCTACCTTTTATTTTGGTAGTATGGATGTTGCTACCAGGCTATTAATGAACACTGACATATGGTGCCTAGTGAAAGTCTAGTAATTATTTCCCTTTCAAAATTTAAAGTGTTTACTGAAACCATCTCACGTAGAAAGCGCCTGGACAAAGCACTGTCCAGAATTTTACTAAGCATCAACTTCATCTGTTTAGAAAAAGCATAAAGACTTATTTAGGGGAAATGCTAAGGGCAACTGAAAAAATGTCAAATAAGTCATTTTCATCCACAATAGTGTCCATTCTACCAAGGCATCCCATGACCCTCATAATGCAACCGCTTCATTTAGCCTTCATAGCCGGCATGGAGGGTAAGCTGACATTTGGGTTATTATTTCAGTCTCAAAAGCACGCTGCTTTCATTGTGCCTTCTCCCATACTTTGAGTGAGAAGCTATTCCGTAATTAAACAGGCAAGTTTAAGAAATAAAAGTCAATGGCTATTAGGTCGCAAGGGACACTTGTGTGTCTTGCCTACCACAGACAATTGGAAAGGAACACATGTGTGATCCTGCCGGGCGCTGTGGGATGCGACGCTAAATTTTTGTGGGATCGCAAGTGTTTGGCAGAACAACCTCCATAAATCTGTCCCATGCTTCCATGCATACCCCTGTCAGCACATAACCAGTGGAAAGTCACCCAGTGTTCTTCCTGTACCCCTACCAGAGAGATTTTTCTTGCTTCAGACTCACCCACCAAGCAGAGAAGCACACATTCTGTAAGCCAGCCAAGCACAATTTGCAAGCTGAAAAACGAAGATGCAACTGATACATATGTGCATTTCTATGGAAGTGGCTGAATTTGCACGTAGATGCTGGCTGCTACCATAAACTTCAGGAAACTTCTAGCCTGGGAGGCAGGAAAGTGAGCACCTGGGGGAGGAGAGTCAAGAGGAGATGTGGAGGAGCATAGGGGAATCTTATAGTATGATTAATGCTCATGGCCAAGGCAGACCATGGCTGAGGGCATGACCTTCCCAGGTGCATGGACGTGCTTCTCCTCCTCCACACACCTTGGGCCTTTGGGAGAGATATGGCTGATCTTGCAGCAGGGATGGAAAGAACCAGCACCAGAATATACAAGCCTCAATCTGGAACAAGTTAAGGGGTTCAGTCTCTGCTAATAAATTACACCTCTGTGGAGGAATTCCCTGATCTTATTCCCATCTATTGCTATTGCAGATTTCTAAGTAGAGCTGCAGGGTGTTCAGTAAGCAGAGCCCCATGTAAATCACTCATCATGAAATCTATGAGCCTCAGTAATTGGCACCATCCCTTTCCAAGCTTTGATAACAAGGTTTCATTTGCTATAATGCTGGCACGGCAGACAGGAGATGGTTTGTTTGACTAGGGTAGTTCAGGGGAACGGGATACTGAAGATGTTGCCTCCAAGTCTGATTTACTCAGGACTGAATGTGTCTTAGCATCCGCAAGTAGGACTCTTCCTCAACAGCTAATAAGTTACATGAATCAAAGATTATTTAAAAAAAAAATTTAAAAAAATCTTTCCTGGGCATAAAGGATTTTTCATTTAGAAGATGAACATCTGAAACTCCCAAGCTGCTTGCTGACAGGCTAATGAAGTGCATGACAGCAGTTCTTGTTAGTGCCCCTGGTCTTCTCTGTGATCTCAATTTGGAAGAATGTCAACTCACAAAACAGGAATCAAAGTGCTTCTTCCAACCATGGTCCTCACTGGAGTCCTCTATCCCAGAAGGAGAATCTCAGATGGACAAATCTGGAAACCATAGGCAGGAACTCCCCCAGTGCCACACCATCTCCTTGCTCCCACATCTCCGAAATGGACCGTCACTCCTTCCCGTGCTAGTGTCCTCGGAGGAGCTGTGAGCAGCCGTGAGGAACTGAACGGGGCAGAGGGCAGGCAGCAGAGAGGTTTTTGCTGTAGCCCTAAAAGCTAGAGAAACCTTTAAGAGGTTTTACTTTCACAGCAGGAAATCCCTTAATTTGCAGCAAACAAGATCCAAACTTGAATCCTTTTCCATTCAGGTGACCAGAGAGCCTTTGCTCCTTGAAATACGGCTGACAAACATCCATGTAATGCTGAAGGCCACGCTGGCGAAAGGACTGAGTATTTGCTGCCTCGCAGGGAGTGAGCTTGGAGCCAGTCAGTTGCCTTTCACTCCTTTAATAAAGGACAGTCTCTGATAACCTTGCCCTGATCAGCCAGTCTGCCCACAGGAGTTTTAAAACCAGACAGCAGAAATCCATTAACAGCGACCTGTGGGCAAACCAAGGGTGTCTTCAGAGCTATAGGCTGTCCCAGCATGGACCAATATTAAATGGCTAAAGGAAAGTGTAAGAACAGGGTAGGATTATTGCTCTGCTTCCCGGAATACATTCACAGGTCCATTTGTGATTCCAAGATTTTGCAAAAATAGAGATGAGCTTTTTATATGTAAGACTCATAGATGGAATTATTGAATTTTTGTCCATGAATTTTTCCAATTGCTTTTTGGAAAAAAAAAAAAAGGAAATTTTAGTAATTCATGAAGGAATTTAGAACTCATTCTCTAATGATCTATGGTGTGAAGAGGTACATCCTTCCGTTGTTTTCATCCTGCTCATGGTTAGTTTTGCCTAACGCTTCCCCTCGTTCCTGCACCGAGACAGTGAACAGTCTCTCGACGGTGCCGTCCACACGTTGGGATTGGCCTGTCATACCTTCCTTCAGCGGAACTTTTCCAATCCTATCCAGTTAGCTGTTTCATAACCAAAAGCTGGTCTGCAGGTCATGCTTGTTCATTCCTCTGCACTTCTGAGAGACCAGAACTGCACATTGTAATGAAGACGAAGATGAACCATGAATTTATATAGTGACACAACGCTGTTCTGTAATCCATTTTTTCCTTTTCTAGTCATTCCTACCATTCAGTCAGCTTTGTTTGACAGTTATTGAACACCAGGACCTCATTCCTAAATGTAGATATTTAAGAGTTTGTGAGTGTATACGGTCCTTTCAGACCGTTTTCCTCCATCTACATCACTCTACATTCATGTGTTCTGAATTTTAGCTGATGTTTTATTGTGCCGGGCAAGCAACTCATCTGGGAACACTTCCATCCTCCCATCAATCTTTCTGGATGAGTGATGTGTAGAAAACTGAAATGTTGAGAAGTGAAGTCATTAAATTAAGGAGATTCTGTTCATTTTCTCTTTTGTACAGCTTTTGTCATTTAAAGACATGATGCATCTTTACGTCTAACAGCATATTTTAGTGACTAGAGGAAAATAGTTTCCAAAAATCTTGGTTCTCATTTCCTTGCTCAGCTGTCACTTTTGTTAAATTTTTCCAAAGAGGACACTGAAAATCAGTGTCCTCCATGACTGGGAGCAAATGTCAAATATGTCATCCCTGATTTTCAAAGGTGCTGAGCACCAGTAACTTCAGCAGGTATCACAGGATCTAATGGGACTCAGACCTTCCCCACACAAGCCCCAATGTGTCAGATCAGAGCACTGGGACTAGCCTGTGCGTCGCTTTCTTCACCTGTAAAATGGAGTGAGTCCCCCTCTGAAAAGGGGGGAAATGCCAGGCATGTGCAATTCATTACTATTAAGAACAATATTGCCTAGAACATCTGGGTCCCATTCATCGGCCTTTTAATTGGCGAAATTGCCTTTTCTCTCGGAGGAGCAGTGCTTGAGGAAGAAATGAAACCGCTCCTGACACAATCCCGCCAATGTCATTTCTAAATGAGGTCTGTTCTTCACCAGACAAGCCTGAAAGATGGTCCTTCACTGCTGGGAGAAGCCCATGGGAGTTTGCACCATTTATGATTTAGATTTCTTTTTCAAGGCTTATCCTTGGTCATATGAGGAAAAGGGCAATATTGCCATGATCAGGCTGGAAATTCATCACAGCAAAGGCTGGCGCAGTCAGAGGACTCAGATCGTGTCAAGTTTTGAACTCAGTTCAAGATCCTCTAATGCAAATATGGAAAATAGTTGGATTTATCCTTTATAAGAGAAAAAAAATAAGCTGTTAGAAATGAAAGAGATTGAGAATCCACCACTTCTTTTTGGAGTTTGTTTCCAGTGGTTAATCATCCTCTTTGTTAACAGAAAAAGAGGTCATATTTCCAACTTGAATTTTTTTTTGGCTTTGACTTCACACATTTGTTCTTGTTATTCTTTTCTCCACTAAATCACAGAACCATTTTAGCACCTATTTTCTAACCAGGAAGGATCCTATATGTTATACAGCACTCATCCCCTTGATCTTATTTTTAATAGGTTAAACAGATCGAGTTACTTATATCCTAGTTTTCTATCCCTTGGATCATTTTCATGGCTCTTCTCCACAACCACTCCAAAATATCAACATCCAGTTAGCAGTGTGGATACCAGGAATGTATTTAACCTTCCAGAGCTAGTCTCACCAATGAGCTAAGCAGCTGTAAAATCCGTTCCCCTTTCTTACAGTCTACGCCTCCTGTTTGCAGGCAAGAATCCCTACTAATCCCCAGTGTTAAGCACATCAGCTCCACCTGCTTTGCCTTGTGTGTATGACAATACAGCAGAGGCACCCTGTCCCCTCGGAGGTGGCACTTCCAGACTGAGCAGGGAACCAGCAGAGCTATTGCTTATACTGGGCTGTTTCTTAAGTCAGTACAAGACTGTTCTCCAAGGTCTTTTCATCTACTGGAAAAATAAATGGAAATGAGAGTGAAAGGAAAATGAAACAAAATCTGCTATAACTTCTTCAAGAAGAATTTGGATTAAGCCCACTTTATGACAAGCTTGTTTCAAGGCCATGGTATGATAAGAAGTTGTTGGCTGGGGCAGGAAATTTTCCTTCTAAAAGCTGGTCTGTGCTTTTCATGGGACAAAAGAAGAGTCTTGTACGTTTTTGCTTTTGTTTTCTGGTGTGTTTCTGAAGTCTCATCAGCTGAGAGACTAAGCAAGGTGATGAGAGGTCTCTCTCTAGCTTATTCAAGGGTTTATGATGGTGCTGTGCTTCCTAATCATGGTGCATCCACAGACTGTGCTGCCTTTCAGCACTGCACAGCACAGGCTCCCCTCATGCAGCAGAAAAGGTAGCCCATCTTAACGGATGGGAAGCCACCGTGACATGCAGCAGTGCTCACTCCACCACAGGAGCATGTGGGGAAACCGTGTACAGCTCTCTTGAAGGCCACTCAGTGAAAGATGTGAGCCATGGGGATTGCTTTTACAAAGAGACCCATCACTATTTGGTAGTGCAGATGCATTAAATCCAGCCAGTGGAAAACAGAGGCCAGTCTACAGAAAAATAGTGGCCGTCCTGCTCCTTCTTGGGCAAAAATACCTTCATGGGTGGTTGCCCCAGGTTAAATCATAGTGCTGTGTTGTGGGCCTGCAAAGGCAGATACATAGATTTTTACACTTGTTGCTCCTACTGAGGACATAGTGCATACCAGTTCCAATAGATATGGGGGTGCTAACAGACTTCTCATGTCTTTGCGTCAAGAGAGGGTTGTTCATAACCCCAAAACAAATATTTAGAATTGCTATCAAACCAGCTGCAATTTGCAGGGCAGAATATAACACCATGTGGGTTGAGCTCAAATTGACAAACATTTGAGATGTTGCAATTCCACTTGTCAAAATGTGTTTACCACAGGAGGGAAAAAAAAAAGCAGGATGGAAGAAGAGAATGTCTTTTCAAGTGTTTACCTTTCCAGGTTATATTGCATTCAACTCTCATTTCTATTATTGCCGTGTGGTTGAGTAAAAACTCTAGAGTTAAGCATGGAGAGCAGTTTTCTTTATAAATCTATTTCCTGGTCGCTCATAATTTTCTTACCAGCAAGGAACCTTTCTAAAGATTTTCATTACTTTGTCTTCAAACAAATCATTTTAGAGCCAAATTTAAACACAGCAGATGGTTGTTTCTCTATTCTCTTTGCCTAGACAACTGGAGTGACAGTGGTCGGTTAAACCTGCTCAGCATGTCCAAGCCAAGGAAAGATTGCCTGACACAGAGCTCATCCAGATATGCTCGTAGCAGCTCACATTTTCCTTAGGGTTGAGCATTTCCTCCTCATACTATCCCCTCACAATAGATAGATGCATTGATAAAGTGATGGAGCTGCACTCAGCAGCTTGTCCCTGTGGTGCCTCTTGCTGGACTTAGAGTGACTCCAGATCCAAGCCCTCAATTTACCAAATCAGCACCCAGTGCTCAAAGGGACACAAACGCCTGGCATCCTCCTACACTGCAAGCCCCAGGTGAAGCAAAGGCAATGTGATCTGAAACCTTCCCATAAGGAACAGAGGAAACCATTCAAACTTGAATTTCTTACATTGTTACAAAGCAAGATCTCTCCTCTAAGGGCCCAACTTGGATTTTGATCTCAGCCTCTTTTTTTCCTCTAAGAGTGGCAATCAAACCAAGTTTTCTTTCAGGCAGCCACCTTTCCTTTTTCACCATATGTTCAAAGGAGCAAACACACTTTGTCACAACCTTTCCCCTCCCTCTGAAATTCTTGTACATTCTTATCCCAGTGGCAAACCTCCTTTGGGGGCTGCTTTCTGAGCTGCATGCTGTTTTGCAAGTCCCTATCAAACAGCCTAGAGCCTCGCTGTTCCTCCACTCCCAGCTCCCTCCTGTTTTACCCCAGAATATTTGGCAGTGGGACCTGTGTGTGCTCAGCCAACAGTTCCCACTTGAATCCAGGTGGAGTGAAAGATTTTTCAAGCTGAGACAGATTAAAATCAAGTAACAAGTAATGAAAAAAATCGCTGATCCACCTGCCAGTGTGGAGTCTCCCCCAGGCTCTTGGAAGGAGGCAGCACTATTGGACAAAGGCTGTTGCATCCCAGAGCTTGGGCAAGGGAGAAAGAGATGGATGAGGGGAGTGTGGCAACAGATTAACCCCAAGATGCTCCATGTTAAAGGAGACATCTCAGATGCAGAATTAACTGATGGGGAAACCTGCGCTGACAGATGAAAAGGAGTATCCTGCCCCAGAGGACCTAACCTCCTCTGGGCATTTTTCCAAACAGGTTGTCCCAGTGTGGACATCACTAATACGCTTAAGCACATGCTGGTCTAAGTGCAGTCTAGACAACAGTATTTTTGCCTTCTCCTGTTTTTCAGCAGGCGTTGCCAAGGCTGCTCAGAAGAACTTTCTATGCTTATTTCAAAGTGCCCTTGCATAGGATTTCACAGGGACATTCTGTGCATCTGAGCTACAATAGTGCATTCAAGGACACAATTAGTCATGTTGTTCCCACCATCTGTATTGGAAGTTAAAGCTCCCAGGTGTGCTCCCAGCATTAAAGTTGAGATAACTTTTACTGCAGTCACACCAGAATTAATCCAGGACCTGGCAGTATATTCATTTTTTTTTTTTGCAGAGAAAAACAATAAAACCATAACTAACAGGATGATTCTGATTTCAAAGCCTTCTTGCTGCTATTAAGGCTCTCAGGAGCCCAAATATGATTCTGATCTTAGACAGCACCCAGTGTCTTCAAAGAGCTGCTGAAACAGCAGAGCATTTTGCAGGATTGGGCCCAAATTGTGTTAGCAGGTAAGGTAAGATAAGAGCATTTCATGAGGCTTCTTGTTTAAGCATGTGCATTCATCCCCACTCAGCAGTTGTGAAGGTGGAGGTCTTGGGGAAACTCCTGTGTCAGCCTGGATTTCATGTGGAAAATCGGAGCTCTGCAGCTCTGCATGCACTATTGAACCTACAATGTGCTTTACCTTATGGTACAAGAGGAAACATCATAACATATCACGTCATCCCTGCTCAGACCATATTCAGTGTATAAGATATCTCTGGATCATGAATCAAATTAGCAGGACAAAAACCAGCTAGGGTTCCATTCAATACTTTGTTTTTTTTCCACAGGCACCTGCATAACAACCGGATCCAAAGCTTGGGTTCCAATGGCTTTGATGGGTTGCACAACTTGGAAACTTTGTGAGTGACCTGTTTTCTTCTCTGTGCTAAAGCCCTGGTGCGCTGTGTTTATCCCTAGCGTGCCATGCTGCTGTCCAAGAGCTGGGGAGCAGGGTGCATGTGCAGCGAGGGGCCCTTGAGATCCACCATGGCCCTGGCAAGGGTTGGCACGGGCCAACGCAGCCCGTAGGAAAGCACCGGGTCTGCAGGGGGGCTCCTTCTGTGCATCCACCCATACCCACTGCGTGAGGATGGTCTAGACACAACCCAAGTGGGCAGATGGGCACAACGCTGTGCAGGGCAGGGGTAGACTGTCCTTGCTGCCTGTGTCAACAGTCGACAGGCTGTATTGCTACTGCATAAGGGGTTGTTCCTGTGGGTGACAGAGGCTGGGAGGGAGGCTCTGGGGCCCTGGTGACATATCTAGTCCTGGTGAGACTCGGGGAGCCTGCATGTATGCCCAGCTTGTGGTGTGGCCCCATTTCCTCACTGCATGTGCATGGTCCCAAACACTCTGAAACATCTGATTCCACCAAAATGAAAATCTGGGGATGGCTTGGCTTCCAGGCTGATAAACCCTTGAGGATCTTTGGAACAGCCTTCCTTGAGAGGCTTCACAGACACCTCATGTCACCCAGAAACACCCAAAACCAGCTTTGTCTGTGTCTTGCCCTATGAAACAGTTCTCAGCCGTCTACTAGAAAGCCATGTGGGAGGATGGGATGCAGGAATAAGCTCTCCTCCAGGACACAGCTTCATTAGCAGCAAGTGGGTGACCCTGAATCCAGAAAGGCTTAAATCTGAAGACTTTTGACATGCACACGCATCTTTGGCTGCAGTATGAGATGTTTGGATCTCATGTGCCATGCACTGGCCTAGGAAAAAACATAAACAAGCAAATAAATTGAGGCTCAGAAAGACTGAGAGAGACGTGTCTCGCCTGCAGTTGTGCAGAAAATGTCCCTCTGACCCTCGAGGTCAGAGTCAGGCACACACTTCTTGCCAGAAGGAACAGGAGGCCTGGGTCACAGCAAAAAGCAAGGTGATACCTCCAGCATTCAAGTGCCATTTAAGAAGTCAGGGCATTTCTGTGCCAAGCACAGGCCAGAACACAGTGATTGGGTGAGAATGGAAGCAGCAGGCGAGATCTCGGTCCCTAGACACTCTCCTCAGGGGCAGCCCATGAAATGCATTGTCTCCTGCCTTTAGACTGACAGATCCTGGGGCCACCCAGAAGGTCTTGGCTGAGGAGAGGTTTAATGTGGCAGTCCTCTGCACGGTGCAGGGAAGGAGGCTGGATGGTCACCTCTGGTGACTTAAGGTCTTCTCCTATTACTGTGCTAGGCTGGCCTTTTCCTCAAGAGTTTTTGGTGGCCACAGGCAAATACATGAGGACAAAGAAGCTGTGGCATCCAGGCAGCACAAAGGAAGGCACATTGCAGGAGGGAGTGGAGAATTCCCTATTGGAGAAAAGCCCCATCTGGGCTGTAGCCCGTAAAGACTGTGCTGCAACCTAGCAGTCTGCAGCTGAGGTGGTTGGAGGATCAAAGGGCTTCCACTGCCCTGAGAGAGCATCTGGCATCTCTGGACACTTGCAAGGAACGCTCATTTTCCATCTCTTCACCTCAGCTTCTGCTCCAGTGCTGCTTTTTGTTCGTTCGTTTGTTAGTTTGTTTGTTTTCCTTTTCAGATGCCCCCTTTTTAATGCTCTTTTCCCCCAGCTCTAAAATACTCCCTTAAAGCGGACAGAGTTCAGTGTTTCCCGCTCTTGTTCTCAACACCCTTCTCACAAGCACCATACCCAAGCACAGAACTGCTGGCTGTTGACCCTGAAGGGGCTCAGAGCCTGCAAGACATCGTAGGGATGGGGCCCTCCACCCCTCCACCTCTGCAGAAGGAGCAGGGTTCTGCTTGACTGTTGCTCCACACCTACATCCAGACTGTGATGGCCCTGACTTGTGTACGGGAGCACCATGAAGCCCCTTCTTCCCTAGACTGCCTGCAAAGGCTGTGGGAGGCTTCTCCTGATCTTCTTCACAATATGATCACACTGAAGGAGCGCTAGAAAGAGAGGTGCCTTTTGTTCCTCTTGGCCTGAGCACCTCAATCTCATCTCCAGGTCAGCCAGTAATTCAAGTCATTGATCTTTGAGGAATGCTTTGTTCCTCAGGAGGAGTCAGCTCCTTCATGTTAATCTCCACCACTCCTCTACCCTGCTGCCCCAAAGCTGGCCAAAGCACCTTTGTGGCAATAAAAAATATATAATAATATTATTAATAATTATAATAATAAACTGCTAAGCATTCAGAAACATGAATTATTTCAGGCTGCTAGACCTGCCCTCTGCCTACCACCCATAACCCACCTGCATGTGGAGATTGCTACAGTCTCCTGCACAGCCTTTAAGTCAGATTATGACTCCATTCTGTTGATAACACTTAGCATTTTCTTGGCTTGTGCAAGTCAAACTGTGCTTGTGGTTACCCTGTGGGCATTATCTCCTGGAAGACAGCAAGATGGTAACCAACTCTTGTTGGTGAAGGCAGAAGCTTCTCTAGCATGCCTAAAGTGAGAATTTGTGGCCAGATGCTGATCATAAGTCAAGTACAGTAGTTGAAGAACAGCAGAACTTAGGAGGAAAAACAATTGGGGGGCGGTTGGTGTCAGAGAAGCCTTGGAAGTCCAGGTGCATCCCCTGCTCCCCTGCAGGAAATGTTTTTCCACATTTGCAGCCTGATGCAGAAACTCCTATTTTACAAATGCAGCCAGTACTTTAGAAGGAGCAGCACCCACTGCTCCATTCAGGCCTCAGCAAAGTGCAAGTTGCCCAGGCACAAGCACAGTGGACACCTAAACCAGACCCTATCATTTCTGCAAAGGCAGATCATGATGGAACATCTCTGTTCATGAAGATGGCTTGATATTTTTGAAAGTCAGCTAATCTAGTAAAAGGTGAAAAGAATATGTGAAAGACTTCATCTTTCCTCTGCATTGACCCTTACAGCTACTGTGCACAAACGAGCAGCAGTCTCTGTTGGGTACCCAAGAAGGGCAGTTCTGCTACGTGGAGTGACAGGACGGGTGTGTGAGGGCAGGGAGACAGCACTGAATGTGCAGTACTCACCGGGTTTGGGCTGGTCAAACACCCATGTGTAGCTGGAGAAACCAACTCAAAGAAAATGGTCTTTGTTAGGTAAAGATCTGGCTGTTCACCAGCCCCTGCAGCTTCGTCTTCCTGGGAGGAAGCCTGGGCAGGCAGGCTGGAAGCAAATCAGAGCAGCCCTGGCCAGATTCCCAATAGGATTTTGAAACAGCCTGGAAAACTAATGAGTTTCCCTCACTGGTTCCCATAAGTCCGTGGGAGAGATCACACAGAACAACCTGCAGAGCTGTAGAAAGAAACCTCAAGTATGGCCAAGTCATGAAACTAAGCATTAGATGGTCAAACTGGGCAATATCAGCCATTTAGCCTCTCCCAGATAGACAGGGTAAGTTACAGAATGTGAATGTCCTTGTGTGACAATTTCTGTAATCCCTTTGGTAATGAAATACGTCCTGTATGAATTTTGTATGAGTATGAACACCTAATGAAGACAGTATTTGTCACAGGAGGCTCCCTATGACAGGAATTTCCACAGTGACTCTGATCTTGTGCCCAGTTTTCTTCTTCACTCCCCTCACCTGAAAAGCTGAACAGTTTCCTAAGTTTCTTAGTCTTTGCAGACAGTCTGAGCACAACCTAAAGGCTAAGAGTGATGAATAAATACATCAAAGCCATCTTAGTTTCTTCATGCCGTGCAGCACCTGACTTTGACCTGGCTACATAGATGGTGCAAATAGTAGGTGTAGCCCTGCATTTTCCTGGAACATAAATGTTTCATGGAGTAGACCTGGAAGGGAAGGTGGACGTGCAAGCACCACCAAGCAGCAGAACCCCAAGTCACTGTCCTCTACACAGTGAAGAGATGGAAAAGGGAGGTGACCTGAGACCATTCAGAAATACATATATGTGTATGTATGTATGGCATGTCTGCATGCATATATGGGTATAAATATGTGGATATATATATACACAACCACAGGAACATATCTCCAGTGCTTCATAGATTGTCATGAGGAGAGAAGCTAAGCACAGAAGCTGAATTTAAGAGCTGGCCCCTGAGTCCCTAGCTCCAAGCAGCAGCACCTACAAACTATCCTGCAGCTCTCTGCAGATTGGCGGGTTTTAGGAAGCCCTCAGTGTTGCCTGGTGTCCCCCAGCAAAACAGCACAAGCCACAAGGTAGCAGCACATCAAGAGGGCAGACCAAGGGGCCGAGAGGTTCCCTGTGGATCAGCCTGTCTTCACCGAAACACCCCTAGGCTGCAAGCTGATTCCTCAGCTTTGAAGAGAAGGAGAAAGCGTTTCTTGTCTTCTATCAATCAGGGGTGTTTTGCCCAGGCAGGGAGAGGAGGTGTTGTGGCCCTGAGCGCCGGCTGCCGCACACACACGGTGCGTTTGAAGGAAACCCATTTTGGCAAGTCATTAGGGCTTCTGATGGGCTAATGTGGCAGCTGGGTGACAGAGCAGCGGCCCCAGCAGGTCTATGATCTTGAACCTCTCTGGGGCCCCTGGACCGCCGGGTAGGGACAGGGTCACATCGTGACATGAGTTTGGGCTCAGCGGCTTCCAGCTCCCGCTGCGCATCCCTGCCAAGTCAGGTGTAGCTCCCGGCTCACTCGTCCCTGTGCGGTGCTGCTGCTTGCTGCTCGGGGACTGCTGGTGACCTTGAAAGGAGAGGCCCTCCAGCAAGAAGGTCTTCACTAAAGACTTCAGGTCCCCCAGTATGGAGGCTGTGGAGATTTCCCAGAGCAGCTCCTGACATTCCCTTAGAACTCCTTTTTGGATGACCTCGCTACAGTATCTCCAAATCAAAGAAGCCAAGGGAGAACTGAGGAAATAAGAGCCGTGGTCATCCCAGGGCTGAGTCCCACATGTGCATGGAGCACCAGCCTAAACCAGAAACAGGAGCCAAATTTCCT